CATGATTCGAAACAGAAGGGAAGTAAGCAGATACAGAGTAGGCATCCGATTCCAGTGAGAAAGATGAGACAGCATAGAAGCAACGTACAGCAACCTAAATCATTCGACAGGTCATTTACAAAGAAACGGGGTGAAGAACTAAACCCGTACCGAACTTTTCTCACAATTTCACGTCTGATCATACAATTGTCAGACACTAGCTGTTTTCCAGCTCTGTGCATATTTGTTTCACGTGTGATCACTTCTGCCGTTTGAAGACTATACCTGAGCCAGACATGACTATACCTGAACAGACATGAGTATACCTAGTCAGAAATTACTATACCTAGTTAGACTTGAATATACTTGGTCAGAAATTACCATACCTGAGTCAGACCTGACTATATCTGCTCCAGGTCTGATCATGTAAAAAAGACATAACGCCATCTAACGGCAGAAACGCAGATGGTTATGATGTGGTCCACTGCAGTTTTACGATAGAATTACAAGCCGGCAGGGTGTTTTGATAAGGCAAAAAATCATAATTACTGCCTATTTTTGTTTATTCACTTTGATCTGGAGCGATCAAGCTTCCAATCAAGTCGGATAGCTTAAAAGTTTTATGGTCCGAGCTGTTGTTTCTTTGTTGTGTCTGAGGCATGTAGAAAAAAATCATTTGGCTCCTTTATCGCTCCTCGGCCTTTTGGCTAAGATCATGTGTAGTATCTGTTCTTATCAGCTTAATATCTGGCATGCTGGGCATTGCTTGGCACCAATATTAAACTGATTTTTGCTTCTCGAGTTTACACCGAAGCTTGCTTCAGTTGACTCACGGATTTTTCCAATCTCGAACTACCATCATGATATGTCTGCTTCAGGTCTGTTTCTGATCATGTAGTTTCAGGCATGAGTATGTCTGATCCAGGTATAATTATGTAAAGTCAGGTACAAACATGTCTGCTTCAGATCTGATCCTGTAACTTCAGGCATGGTCGTGGTCATGTCTTGTCCAGGTATGATCATGTAATGTCTGGTCCAGGTTTACTTAAAGTTTGATCGTATCTGACTGAATATCTGTTTTTCTTCATAACTATCATGTCTGGTACATGTCTATTTCAGACATGTACAGGGAAAAAAGAGACATGCCAGAGGACTGATACAGATATGGATTTAGTATGTTTTTTTTTGATGTCCCGATTTGAATTTAACAACAAATTTCAGTACGGGAAAAGCCAAAGATTTGAACTCTTAAATGAACTCTAAATTCCAAATTTTCCGTTGTTGGTCATTGAAATTTGCTCATGTCTCGATTTTGTAAGGTGGCTGAAGCAGTTTAACTTTGTTCACAAATCCATTTATTCAAATATCTAACCAGCTAAAAACAAAATACAAAATCAAAAAAGTTAACGTAGATTAGCACAATTTGTAATAATATAACTAATTCAAAGCAAAACTTTTTGGCGCGTCCGTTGAAAAATAAACTTGACGCGTCCGTTGATAGTGCGAATTTCTTAGCGCGTCCGTTGATAGTGCGTACTATAGCTATTCTAGATTGTTTATGCTCTGAAACATAACGGTTCTAGGTTATTGCTGTTGTACATCATAAATAGTCTGGACCATAGCTAAATCAATCCATTTTTAGTCCTGACCATAAGTACCCGGGTTGAGATCCAAGCAAAACAAATGCCGATCAAACAATTTCATCTATAGAGTCTATGGAAAAATGCATTTTCATAGAAAAATCACCGAAACCAATCTTTTAATAGTTTGAAATTAAAACAGACAAAAAGCATTAAACTATTTAAGCATTTTTTTTTTCCACAAGAAGGCTAAACATAAAATTTCATGAAAAAGTTAAATGATATTCATCCCCCCTCCCATAAAAAAAACAAATTTGACGTAAGCTCTGCAAAAATATTTTTATTGCCAACTGGCTTCAGAGCTCAAATTTAATTTCACCGAGTTTGATATTTTGTGTTCTAAACGTAGCGCAGGTTGAGTTTTTCACTCAACACTCACACGCAAACAAATTTTTATAGAATTTTTTTTTCTGTTTTTGTATGTTAAGATTTTGTTTTCAGGTTTTGTTTTCGATTTTTTTAATGTTTTCATATGCTAAAATATAGCTGAATTCATTATAAAAACCAGGCTTTTTTCCTCAATCACCGAATTTTTTTGGCATATAATATTGTGTGAAAAATTGCTTTATGTGGCGAACTCATCAAATGCAATTTATCTACTTGGTAAGAGCTGCATATACACTGGATTTTCTGTAGAATCCTTGGTTATTGCTTTTTTGATAAAAACGCAAAATTTTGAAACAAAAATTTTTTGTATCCTTTTTTATGGACAAAACGCTCGTCATATACTTTAACGGTAAAATTAAATTGCTTCAACTATTTTCATACAGTTTTTATTATAAACAGATGGCAAAAAGCTTTTTATTTTGTTCCAGAATAAAGCAAAATTGCTAATTATAAATCTTAATGAAAAAAAGAATGTTTATTTTAATATTTTCATACAATTAATTCAGTCCATGAAATTGTATGAAACATTATGATATTTTCAGTTAGTGGAATGGTGTATTAAGTATTTTTTTGTCAACTCGGGTATGTTTTTTGCTAAAACAATGTATGAAACTATATTATTTCTACGCCATTGCTGACATACGTTGTGGACCATACCTTATATAGACAATACCTGATTTTGGCCACAGCTTTTCAGGACCATAGCGGCTCTAGACCATAGGTAGTCTAGATAGTTGATCTATGTCATAGCGGTTCTAGGTTAGACGGGCATGCGTACCTGGTACCGCGTAGACTTCCGTTGTGATGGGGACTCGACATGCTGGACATGTTGTGGTCTGCGGTAATTTTCCCAGTTCTCCGTTAGTTACTACAACTATTGGTCTCCTAGAAAAAGTTCGATTAACAGCAAGCTATTTTTTGCATAAAATTGCCATTGAAACATTGTTCGTACAGCAAAATTTGAGCTCCAAAAAATTGAGGTTTTCCAAGAGTTGTGTTGCATTGACACCAATTCTGCTCAGATAAAAGTTACTTACAATTTCACCACAAATTATGCTGAAATTGTTTTGGACTGCTCAGTGCCTTTGCAAGTCAGAGTTTTTAATTCTAACAAAAACGTAAACATGGCTCAATTAATTTGTCTTCTCAAAAAGCTAATCAGTAAAAAGGAATTGCTGATTTTAAATACTGCCTGCAATTTTTAATTTTGACCATTTTGAGGCAACAATTATTCTTCAGTTTTGGTAAGATTTTTTGTTTTGTTGGTTGTAATAAAAAACAAAAATACCAAAATTCGGCAGAAAAAAATTAAATTGAGCAACAAGTAACCAACGTTTAACCTAGTTTAAAATGTAGAAAAGACTTTATGTGTGTTGAAATTTGCATCTCATTAAAGTGGAAAAAAATTGATGATAATTTATTTTCATTGTCAGTGTCCACAAAAGTGAAAACAAAAATCGATTATGATGGATGAAAAAAGAATTTTGTTGCCCGAAAAATAGTAATATTATATAATCCGTTTTTGTTTGATTATAATATATTTTTTCTCACTTTTAAGGACACTGACAAGGAAGCTCAATTATAACCAACTTGTATTTATGGAACTCCAATTCGGGTAGCTTCAATCGCATTTGCTCAAGACGGTGAATGAACTAACAACTCATCGCTCTCTAAGAATATCAATCACGCTTTTGACCTTCAATGAGAAACAATCGGTTCTAAACTGCTCTTTTTGCTTGCCACGAATTTAAAACATCGCAAACTTATTCAATGGCGAATCTCAATACTTCATTCGATGAAATAAAAGATACAGTAAATATTGATCCTAAATTGAAAGGCCTATTACAAGGGCTAATTGAGAATGTAAAAAGTAAGAATGATATCATTGTTGAATTGCAAAATCGGGTGCATTTTCTAGAGAATAAAGTTAATGAAATGGAAAGATATAGCTCAAAAGATTGGGTTATTTTATAAAATTTACCTTTACGATACGGAAATTTTACCCAAGAGGTCCTGACCTTTTTTAACAAAGTTATGGGCGTGGAGGTGAACAGCTACGACCTGAAGGCATGCCATCCCCTCGGCCCTGTGAGTCAAAACCAAAAATGTGTGGTTATAGTGAAATTTGTCTACTTTGATATAAAAAACAGAATTTATGGCAGGAAAAAGTTATTGAAAGATTTTTTGCACCCTGTAAATAAGCAACCAGTGTATATAACAGAGAGACATACTCAGCGCGATTCGGAGCTTCATGATTATTCTCGGGGTTTGGGAATTTACACAGTTACAAATAATTGTGCTCCTCAAGTTTTCGTTTCGAAAGCAGATGGTGGATTTCAAAGGCACAACTTAATTGATATTAAGGATGCTGATCAAATTTTCAAAAACAAGAATCCAATGATGGCAAGACAGGCAAAAAATGCTAGAAAACAAAATCCTCGTGTGATACAAAATATACAAAACAACTTTTCTCGCCCTCCCATTGTTTCAGTGAGGAAACGTGACAGAGAAATAACCCCAAATAATGAGGAAAGGAATCATCTGATTGATGAATTGTACAGTAGGGTATCGGGTCCCGTCAAATTGGTGCAATTTGTGGAATCACTTCAAAGAGATTCTCCACAATCAAAATTCGTCAACAACGGAAATAATAATCATGAAAACGATTCTGATTAGTGGCAAAAGCATTTCAACTCTATTTACAGTTTTTTGCCGTGAATATTTTTTGTTTCATTAGAAAAAACCTTTTGCGAGATATGACTGACCTGACAACAACGCAAACAGCATTTTTCCTAAATGTTCAATCCATAAGAGCCCATCATGACCAATTATCAGTTTTAATTGAATCCTTTGATAACAAGCCTGCATTAATCGGGCTGACTGAAACATGGCTCTCAGACAATGATCCTATTGGCATATATAACTTAGAAGGTTATGACAATATTGTCTGTGCAAACCGCGTAAACGCTAGAGGTGGGGGCGTTGCAGTTTTATTAAAACTGGCCTTAACTATAGTTATTTTAAATTACCAGTCAGTTTGGAGCTTATCGTTATCAGAATGTTTTTTGTCGATCACACTACACTAAATGTTTGCATAATATATCGTCCACCAAATCTGAAACTAGAAATTTTTTTTGAATTTATTTGTTGCTTGAATTGAAATCATTAAGTGGTGAAATTTTGCTAATGGGTGATTTAAATGTCGATATTATAGGTAACCAGCGCAATTTTTTTTACTACAAAAATCTTCTGCTTTCTTTTGATTTAGAAATTCAAAATATCGAGCCAACTAGAGTAACTAAATCATCAAGTACATGCATTGACCATATAATTGCGGCGGAGGAAACTCAGGTAACAACAATAAATTGTACTATTAGTGACCATTATGGACTTATGTGTGACCTATAAATTATTTCAGAAAAGCAAAACGTGAATTCTTATCATTCGGATTTCAACTATGATTTACTACTGAATGATGACTATTGCTTAAAATTTTTATTTTCGCTAAAAAATTGATTGAACAAAATTAATGATGATGATCCTGACCTCTACATCATTGAAATGACCCAAATCTTGATGGATGAAATTTCAAAGTATTGCTTAAAAAAAATCCGAAAACAGAATAAAAACAACCACCCATGGATTAATCTGAAAATCAAGAAAATGATGAATAACCAAAATATGTTACACAAAAAGTGGGTTCAGACACCATCAATTGAAAACAAAAATAATTTCACTTCATGTAGGAACAATGTTATTAAGGCTATAAGGGTGAGTAAACGCCGGTACTATGATAACTTGATAATGAGGAAGAAAAACTCGACCGGAATTTTTGATGCTTTCAAACATTT